ATAGATAGATAGATAGATAGATAGATAGATAGATAGATAGATAGATAAAATAAAAAACTATTAAACAAAATACAGTAAACACGAGGTTCCCCAGACCCCACCATGGGCCACCCTGTGGGGCCCCAGGACCTGCTGGGCGGATCCACACACAGACTTCTTCCTACTTCCTGTCCACAAACATTTACACCTGGAGAGGCAGGGCTCTATCTCGTCAACTATTTGCACCCAAGATGTAAGGCATAGAACCTCCCCCCTCCCCGCCAGCTCAGGCTGCACCTGCTTGCCCCCCTCCCCAGCTCCAGGACAGAAGCTCAGGATTCCAGGGGAGGGTGCTGGGCTCGGTCCGAAAAGGCCTTCTTGCCACGAAGCTGGGAGAATGTTAGCCCATCCCCTCAGGCTGCATGTTTGAAATTTTCCTAATGAAGAGCTTAGAAATCACCACCTCTGCCCTGAGAGCCACCAGATCTCTCCTTCAAGCGGGTCCAGTCTGTTAAGCCCTAACCCTGAGTGCACAGCCCACCCAGCATCGCCCAGCTACACACTCACACCACATGCACACACACGCACGTGCCCTGTACCCACATCACCTGGCCCCAAGACCACCGCCGCCCCCCCCCGGCCTCTGGTGACTCTGGTTTCCAGCTCCCAGCTCCACACCTCTGCGTCCTGCTGCCTGACCTCCCCTGGGGTCTCTAACAGGTTCTTCCAACTTGACTTGTCCAAGGTCAGATGGCTGATCTTCCCCAGACCTGCCCACTACAGCCCTCCAGGGCCAGCGCAGGGCCATCCCACGAATCTTGTTGCTCAAGCTAAAAAAAATCTTCACATCAACCCAACTCCCCTTCTTCCAAACTCCACATCCAGTTGATCAGCCACTGTTGACTCTACCTTCCAGGGGAGCCCAGAATCCCACCGCTTCTCCCCACTTCCGCTACCCAGAGCAATGCGGTTAGAGCTTAGCTGGAACCATACTGTACCCCATCAGCACCCTGCCTCCCTGTCCCCGTCCCTCCTCTGCCCACCCACCCCTCCAGAGCTGGGGGTCCCACCTCAAGGGCTGAGCCTCCCTCGCCCACCACGGCCGGTCTGTTACTCACATCAAACCTGTCTTTACACTAAGGCCACCCTCCCACCTCATACTGCCGTTTCCCACACAGGTGCACAGTACCCCGCCCGCTGCATTTTTCTCCCTGGTCCTCAGCACGCTCCAGTGATCTCTGGGTCCTAACTGCTCTATCTCTGGGATCCGCAGCCCCTTTCAAGGGACTCACTCCATCGCCTGGGCTTTTGGCTTCTCTGTCCACAGCTGTGTCCCCAAAGCCTGGCCTAGCACTGAGCACGAAGTCGATGCTCAATAGCTTTTTCCAGGATGCACGTGTGCATTCCACAGACGCCCTCACCCACCACATCCCAAGCCAAATGCATCCCCCACCCTGAGATGTGCCCTTGTGTTTGCAGCTTCCACCTCATCTCCACTGCGCACTAAGGCCTTCCTCCCTACCCCAAGCCAGAAACCAGATTCCAGGGGCCAACTGCCAGATGGGCAAAGAGCCAATGTGGTAATTTGACATTTGTTACAAGTTGAACATCTGACCAATTTCCCTAACAAAGCTTTAACATTTTCCCTTTGTAAATAGATTGTTTGGGTGCTTTAAGAAAACACTGGATAAGGGCGGGCGCCTGGGTGGCTCAGATGGTTAAGCGTCTGCCTTTGGCTCAGGTCATGATCCCGGGGTCCTGGGATTGAGCCCTGCATCGGGCTCCCTGCTCAGCAGGGAGTCTGCTTCTCCCTCTCCCCCTGCTTGTGCTCTCTCTGTCTCTCTCGCAAATGAATAAATAAAATCTTTCTTTTAAAGATTTATTTATTTATTTATTTGAGAGAGAGAGAGAGCGCACAAGTGGGCAGAGGGGCAGAGGCAGAGGGAGAGGGAGAAGCAGGCTTCCCGCTGAGCAGGGAGCCCGATGAGGGGCTCCATCCCAGGACTCCGGGATCATGACCTGAGCCGAAGGCAGCTGCTTAACTGACTGAGCCACCCAGGCGTCCCTAAATAAAATCTTTAAAAAAAAAAAAAAAAACAACGGGATAAGAAATAAAAACACTTTTTTTTTTTTTTTTTTCAGATCATAAAGTGAAATCCCTGCCAACAGGGGAGGAAGAGGAAAAAGATGATGGGCCAATTCCTTCCCCAAACGGTCCAGAGCCCCAGAGACTGGGGTGACTTTCTCTCTTCTCCAGGCCCAAGACTCCTTACCCTTAGTTTCCAGCTCCCTGGGACCTGCCCCAGCCCTCTGTCATTCTAGCCCCGGAACCATGCCCAGGAAGAGTCGCCCTTGGGGGGGGGGGATAAGCCAGCTCCCCAGCTGAATGGAGGTGCATCTGAAGGTGCCTACCTGGAATCCGGGAGCATCCAGGAGTGGGGGGCTGCCAATGGAAAGTGAAGGTGAAGTCCAGAAAGCCAGCTTCCAAGAGGGGAGCCTTGGCGAGAGACGCTGTTCAGCAGGAAGGAGGAACAGAGCACAAGCAAAAAGATCTTTTGACAAAGAGGATCTTAGCAAGTCTACTCTCAAGATCTAGACAAAAGGGAGAAAAATTTGGGCGCCTGGGTGGCTCAGTCGGTTAGGCGACTGCCTTCGGCTCAGGTCATGATCCTGGAGTCCCGGGATCGAGTCCCACATCGGGCTCCCTGCTCGGCGGGGAGTCTGCTTCTCCCTCTGACCCTCTTCCCTCTCGTGCTATCTCTCATTCTCTCTCAAATAAATAAATAAATAAAATCTTTAAAAAAAAAAAGGGAGAAAAATATGGTGAGCTGCCTTGCCCCCTTCCCCCCACGGACATCAGAATTCAGAACGGGTTTGCTCTAAGTTAACTGATCTCCGTACTTAAGTCAATTTTGCATTTCTGCTTTAAAGGAAAAACATGTTTAAAAAGTTCTCTCTTGGGGCGCCTGGGTGGTTCAGTCAGTTAAGTGTATGCCTTCGGCTCAGGTCATGATCCTGGGGTCCTGGGAACTGAGCTCAGCGGGGAGTCTGCTTCTCCTTCTCCCTCTGCCCCTCCCCCCTGCTCTTGTGTGCTCTAACAAAATCCTCTAAAAGAATGTTCTCAATAAAAAAAAAGTTCTCTCTTAGGGGTGCCCGGGGGGCTCAGTCAGTTAAGCGGCTGCCTTCAGCTCAGGTCATGATCCCAGGGTCCTGGGATCGAGCCCCGCATCAGGCTCCCTGCTCCGGGGGAGTCTGCTTCTCCCTCTGCCGCTCTCCCTGCTTGCGCACGCGCTTTCTCTCTCTGTCAAATAAATAAATAATAATTAAAAAAAAGTTCTCTCTTAATATTCATCAATCTCAACTGTTCTAGTTCAAGAACAGGCACACTTTCCTCGCAATAAAATTTGTTCTGAAAGAGTTCTCAAACTCCTCATCCCCAAAAGTGGTTTCTAAGAGGATTGGCTTTATTTGAGTGGAGATAGGCGGTGGCAACATGGTCTGTCATCTCACGGGATGCTCTACCTTGAAAGAAACTAAGATCTGGTCCAGACTTCAAATATCTGAACTCCTTTCCTGGCCCAGGAGCCTGGGAGAGCAGGAAGCCGTTGAGGGTCACACTTCCAAGGATAAACACCCCTGTACCAACATGCACACACTCTATGTCCTTTAGACACACTCCTTTTAGGGACAGCTTCATCAACTCATACCCAAGTCCCTGGGCCAGGGTCAGTGCCCAGGAAATACTCATTCAAGTGTAATAGTCTAAAGTGAAGTCAGAGACTGAAAATTATCCCCTTTTCCTACCCGTAGGTAGAACAAGAATGGATGGCTCCAAATAAATGGGTTCCACCCTTTATATGATAAAGTTCTTGGGGGGTAATTAGGGTCTATACTCTGGTGCACAAATCACAAAAGTGTTTTTCTTTTTCTCCCCCAGTGTTAACTTTTTTAAAATAGATTTTATTTATTTTAGAGAGAGAGAGAGAGAGAGCGTGAGCAGGGGGAGCAGAGGGGGAGAGGGAGGGAGGGAGGGAGGGAGGGAACAGAATCTCGAGCAGGCTCCCCGCTGAGTGCGAAGCCCAACAGGAGGACTGGTTCATTCCAGGACCCCGACATCATGACCTGAGCCGAAATCAAGAGTCAGACACTTACCCGACTGAGCCAGCCAGGTGCCCCCCACCAGTATTTTCAAGATGGACACCTTCATACCATACTTGATATTATTTTGACATTTTTTGGTGCAATTATTCTGATATCATAAAAAGGAAAGATGGTGGATTTTTTCATTTTTCAATCTCTTGTTCCTTATGGCACCTGGAAAAAAGCTCATAACTTATAACTCCAGGGACACCCGGCTGGCTCAGTCAGTAAAGAATGTGACTCTTGATGTCAGGGTCCTGAGTTTGAACCCAACGTTGGGCAAAGAGAGGACTTAAAAAAAAAAAAAAAAAACTCTCATTCAAGACAATGTTGACCAAGCTTTAAAAGGAAAACAATTCAGATGAAGCAGATGAAGCCAATTCTCATTTTACCTTGTATTTGTGAGTCAACCTTTCCAAAGCAGCTGGGCTTCTATCAGAATCCATCAGACCACGAAGTTCTACAACCAAAATAAGAACAGCCATTCAGACTGAAGGAATCCACAGAAAAGCCAGAGCACAGGACCACTGGGATTTTCTTATTTTAAATCAGTTTGCTCTAGAGGAAACAACAGGTTAAAATAATATTTTGGAGAAATACTGTGTAGCTTTGCAGACACAAACCCCAGGGGCATTCCCAGGTGTCCTAGAATTCTCCCCTGGGTTTGAAGGCAGAGGGGAACGTGTCCATACTTCCCAAGCACACGCTGTTTCCTGCCTGAGGGCAAAGCAGGTCCGGGACCACCCTTCCACCCTGACCCTGGGCAGAGCTGGCCCAGCCCCACCTCGCCACACCCCACCCCCCCACCTCACTAGAAGAAGTCTGGGGACACCCCTTCTTAAGCCCTCACACTTATTGGGGGGGGAATAGAGGAATCCCCACCTCGGCCCTGCCCTCACACCAGGGTCTCAGCACCCTGCAGGTCTGACTCCTGGAAGATGGGATGTTCCTCCATAAGGGGAAAGAGAAGGGGGGGTCTCCAAGCCAAGGACTCCAAAGCTAGGGGGTGGGCCCCCCCCGGGGAGGCTGGCCTCACTTCCACGCTGCACGGACCGCACGCAGTACCCAGACCCAGTTGCCTCGGCCCCTTCTTGCCGGCGGAAGCCCCCCCGCGTCCTACCCCGGGCCTCGCGCCGTCGCGGGCCCCCGCCGGGCCGGCAGCTGCGGGGAGACGCGCCGCAGGGGGTCAGCAGCTCGGCGGGGCGGGCGCCTGTGCCCACCTGCCCGGGACTGGGACTGGGGCTGGGCCGAAAAAGCAGCCCCCGACGTAGCAAGGAACTGGCTCCCGAGGGCGACTCCGGGTGGGGCGTGCTGTCACTCAAGTCGGGGGCACCCGGAATGGGCTCAGGCGGGTGGGCGGGGGTGATGCTTCTGCGGCGCAGCCGGGGGCGGGCGCGCAGGGCCCCGGCCCGCCACTGCAGACTCACCTTCGGAATAGCATGTCCATTTTGTTCCCAGAGTGACCGTCGCCGGGCCCCGAAGGGGGTCTGCGGGCCGGACCTGTGTGACGTCACAGCCATCTCCGCGGCGACTCGGCGAGCGCGGCCCCTCCCGCCCGGCCCAGGCCCCTGGACGCCCGCGCCCCTGCGCCCCGCGGCTCGGATCCGCCCTCCCGCGCTCCTCTCGCGGCCAGGGAAGCCTAAGGATATGATTTTGTCACAAAACCTTGAGTGACTCCCCTGAGGCCCGGGATGACGTCCAGACCTTTTAACGCGCCTTCCCGGCGCCCCGCTCCAGCAGTACCTGAGAACTGCTCCCGCGCCCGGGCTACAGCCACTCCCACCTCTCCTTCCAGATTCGGGAGGGCACCAAGCCCCCTCCCCGCCCCACCACCCACAGCTCGGACTTCTCTAGGGAAATGCTCTCTTCACCCCGCCACACAGCTGGCGTTCTTCACCTTTGGAGCTGAGTTTGGCTCCTCCTCCAGGAAGCCTTCCTGGACCTCGGGTCTTGGTTAGGAAGGCCTCCTCTGCGTTCCCACAGCAGGCCAGATCAGCCTGTGCAGAAGTTGTCTATGGATTTCTACCGGCTCACAAGACTGGTGGATGAGCCTAGGGGTTCCAAACGCAAGGCCCCTTCCCCCCAACCTTACCCCACGGTGCCCAGCATAGTAACTGCTCAAAAATATTTTTTGAGGGGCACCTGGGTGGCTCAGTCGGTGAAGCGTCTGCCTTCGGCCTGAGTCATGATCCCAGGGTCCTGGACGGAGTCCCACATCAGGCTCCCTGCTCCGCGGGGAGCCTACTTCTCCCTCTAACCCTCCCCCCTGCTCACTCTCTCTCACACTCTCTCTCTCTCAAATAAATAAATAAATAAAATCTTTAAATATATATTTAAAAAAATAAAATAAAATAAATAAATATATGTATTTTAATGAATCACAGGTACTGGTGAATTGAATATGCCACAAATCATGTTAGCTGTGAACTCACTAGGGGTGTTTTTTTAGTGATTTCTGAAGTCAGGAAGTGTGGGTCTTCCAACTCTGTCCTTTTTCACGATCATTTGGCTCTGCTGGGTCCCTTGCATTTCCATGTGAATTTTAGGACCTGCTTGTCAATGTCTGCAAAAATGTCGGCTGGGATTTGATACGAATTGTGTTGAATGTGTAGGTCAATTTTATTTTATTTTATTTTATTTTTTTAAAGATTTTATTTATTTATTTGAGAGAGAGAGAATGAGAGATAGAGAGCACGAGAGGGAAGAGGGTCAGAGGGAGAAGCAGACTCCCTGCCGAGCAGGGAGCCCGATGTGGGACTCGATCCCGGGACTCCAGGATCATGACCTGAGCCGAAGGCAGTCGCTTAACCAACTGAGCCACCCAGGCGCCCTGTGTAGGTCAATTTTAGTATTGCCGTCTTTTTTTTTTTTAAGATTTTATTTATTTATTTGACAGAGAGAGATACAACAGGAGAGGGAACACAAGCAGGGGGAGAGGCAGGCAGAGGGAGAAGCAGGCTTTCCGGCTGAGCAGGGAGCCCGATGCGGGACTCGATCCCAGGACCCTGGGATCATGACCTGAGCCGAAGGCAGGCGCTTAAGGACCGAACCACCGAGGCGCCCCGAGTGGTATTGCTGTCTTAACAATATTATGTCCGATGCTCGACATCACTAATCATCAGAGAAATGCAAATCAGAACCACAGTGACCTATCACCTTACACGTGTCAGAATAGCTGTATCCAAAAAGACAAGAAATAAGTTTTGGCAAGAAGGTGGAGAAAAAGGAATCCTCATGCACTGTTGGTGGGAATATAGATCAGTGCAGCCATTGTGGAAAACAGTATGGAGGTTCCTCAAAAAATTAAAAATAGAAATACCATATGCTCTAGTAATCCCACTACTGGGTATTTGCACAAAGAAAACAGAAACACTAATTTGAAAAGATATATGCACCCCTATGTTTATTGCAACATTATTTACAATAGCCAATTATGGAAGCAACCCAAGTGTCCATCAATAGATAAAGAATGGGGCCCCTGGGTGGCTCAGTCGTTAAGCATCTGCCTTCGGCTCAGGTCATGATCCCTGGGTCCTGGATCGAGTCCCACATTGGGCTCCCTGCTCAGTGGAGAATCTGTTTCTCCCTTTCCCTCTCCCAGTGCCTGCTCTCTCTCTCAAATAAATAAAATCTTAAAAAAAATAGATAAAGATGTATGTGTGTATGTGTATATATATATATACACATACATACATACATACATACACAGTGGAGTATTACTTGGCCATAAAAAATGAATGAGATCTGGCCATTTATGACAATATGGATGGACCTAGACAGTAGTATGCTAAGTAAAATAAGTCAGACAGAAAAAGACAACTACCATATGACTTCACTTGTATGTGGAATCTGAAAAAACAAAACAAATGAAAACAAAAAGCAGAAATAGATCCATAAATACAGAAAACAAACTGGTATTTGCCAGAGAGGAGAAGAGGTGGGGGGACGGGCAAAACGGGTGAAGGGGAGTGGGAGATACAGGCCCCCAGTTATGGAATGCATGAGTCAAGGGGGCGAAAGGTACAGTATAAGGAATACAGTCAAGGGCACCGTAACAGCGTTGCATGGTGACAGATGGGAGCTGCGCTTGTGGTGAGCACAGGGCAACGTACAGACGTTTTGGATCACTACGTGGTACACCTGAAACTAATGTAACATAGTGTGTCAACTATACTTCAATAAAACACACACATGATACTGAGTCTTCCAATCCATGAACATAGGATGTCTTTTCATTTATTAGGTCTTTTTTAATTTCTTTCAACAATGTTTTAGTTTTCAGCGTGCAAGTCTTGTGTTTCTTAAATTTATTGCGAAGTGTTTTATTCTTTTTGATGCTATTGTAAGTAGAGCTGTTTCTTAATTTTATTTTTGGATTGTTCATTGTTAGTGTATAGAAATACAATAGATTTTTGGGGCGCCTGGGTGGCTCAGTGAGTTAAGCATCTACCTTTAGCTCAGGTGATGATTCCAGGGTCCTGGGATCAAGCCCCATGTCCAGACTCACTGCTCAGTAGGGGAGTCTGCTTCTCCCTCTCCATCTCCCTCTGCCCCTACCCCTGCTCATGCTCTGTCTCTCTCTCAAATAAATAAATAAATAAATAAATAAATAAATAAATACATAAAATCTTAAAAAAAAAAAAAAGAAATACAGGGTCACCTGGGTGGCTCGGTCAGTTAAGCACCTGCCTTTGGCTGAGGTTATAGTCCCAAATTCCTGGGATTGAGCCCCACATTAGGCTCCCTGCTCAGCAAGGAGCCTGCTTCTCCCTCTCCCTGGCTCTCTCTCTCTCTCGATAATTCTCTCTCTCTCAAATAAATAAATAAAATCTCTTAAAAAATACAACAGAGTTTTGTATTTTGATGTTCTATCCTAAAACCTGCTGAACTGGTTGTTCTAATAAGGGTGTGCGTGTGTCTAGTCTCCTTAGTGTTTTCTATATACAAGATTATGTCATCTGCAAATAGAGGTAATCTGTACTCCTTCCGGTCCAATCAGGATGCCTTTTATTTATTTATCTTGACTGACTGCCTTGGCTCAAATCTCCAGTACGGTGTTGAATAGAAGTGGCGGGAGTGAGCATCCTGTCTTGTTTTTAATTTTGCATTTAATTGTAGTACCAAGTACCTTGATTATGTTTGAGTTACAAAGGTATGTTAAAGAAAAGATTAGAGGGCGCCTGGGTGGCTCAGATGGTTAAGCGTCTGCCTTCGGCTCAGGTCGTGATCCCAGGGTCCTGGGATCGAGTCCCGCATCGGGCTCCCTGCTCCTTGGGAGCCTGCTTCTCCCTCTGCTTCTCTCTCTCTCTCTCTCTCCCTCTGTCTCTCATGAATGAATAAATAAAATCTTTAAAAAAAAAAAAAGAAAAGAAAAGATTAGAGACACCTGAGTGGCTCAGTTAAGCATCCAACTCCTGATTTCAGCTCAGGTTATGATCTCACAGTCATGAGACTGAGAGCCCTGGGTCATGTTCTGCACTTGTCAGGGAGTCTGCCTGAGATGCTCTCCCCCCTGCCCCTCCCCCCACTCTCTCTCTATCCTCTAAAATAAATAAGTAAATCTTATTTTTAATTTTAATTTTTTAAAAAATATTTTCTTTATTTATTTGAGAGAGAGCAAGAGAGTACGAGCAGGGGGAGGCACAGAGGGAGATGGAGAGGGACAAGCAGACTCCTTGCTGAGCACAGAGCCCTGCTGGTACTCGGGGCTTAATCCCAGGACCCTGAGATCATGACCTGAGCTAAAGGCAGATGCTTAACCGACTAACTCACCCAGGTGCCCCATAAATAAATAAATCTTAAAAAAAAAAAAAGAAGATTCTTGGGCACCTGGGTGGCTCAGTTGGTTAAACGTCTGCCTTTGGCTCAGGTCATGATCCCAGAGTCCTGGGATCGAGTCCCACATCGGGCTCCCCGCTCAGCCGAGAGCCTGCTTCTCCCTCTCCCTCTGCCTGCCGCTCCCCCTGCTTTTGATCTCTCTCTCTCTCTTTCTCTCTCTCTCTGTCCAAATAAGTAAATAAAATCTTAAAAAAATGAGAGATTCTCTCCCTGTGCCCTCCCTCCTGCTTGTGCACGCTTTCTCTCTAAAAAATAAAGAAAGAAAAAGAAAATATGAAATACAGATTAAATGGGGAGAGGTTCGTGGAGTGTGGATGGGCCCAACTGGCCATGACCAGTTTGCTGGACAATGAGAGGCACATGAGGTTCCATATTCTTCTATCTACTTTGTACCTTTGAAAGTCATATCATAGAAAATGAAAAAAAGTAAA